CCTCTGTGCTAAGCAAACCAAAATCAAATCAAGAAAAGCCTCTGTTCTCTGGAGGACGGCCCCCCCCTTCTGGAACTCCAAACCAGCCTCTCACCTGGGCCTGTGCTAATGTGCTCACTCCTGAATTTTCCAGATCTTTCCTTCTGTGTCCTTCCTGGCCCCACACATCACAAATACAGCTCTTATTTCTGGGCTGTGGGGCTCATGGGCAATCCTGCTGACCTGTCCAAGACCACCCACCCACAGGCAGGCAGAGAGGGTGGCAAGCAGGCTGGAAGGTGGACAGGTGGGTGGGTAGATGGACAAATGGACAAGTGGACAGACGCGTGGTGAGGAGAGGCCTGGGAGAATGAATGGATGGACAGATGGAGGGTGGGGGAGGAGAGGGCTGGAAAGTGAATGGGCTGGTGGGTAGGAGGGTGAGTGGGGGAGGGCTGGCCGGGTGGGTAGATGGATGGATGGGTGGTAGGAACAGGCTGGGTAGTGAATGGATGCAGGGATGGACAATGGGTGGGGAGAGGGTTGGGTGGATGAATTCTCCAACCCCACAACATCCAGAAAAATCAAATAAGCCCTGGGAACGAGCCATGTCAACTCTGCAGCCGACACACTGGGAACACTGCCAGGAGCTACTTAATTTTCCGTAAACTCAAATCAACTAAGATTTAGAGCTAGTTTTTTTAAAAGGGGACCTTAAACAAATACAAATAAGAAATAAGAAACCACCCCCATGGGGGTGGGGAGGAGGTCATGGCTTCTTGCTGCAAAGCGCCCCTCTTTCCCACTTTTCCAAATCTGTATTTGTTTTGGACTTGCGGTCACAGCAGGTGATGTTCAGGGATGATTCTGGGGGGACCCTGGGGGTTTGGGGACGAAGGCAGTGTGCCTGGCCAGCCCCTTCCCAAGTCTTCCTTCTCTGGCCCTGTATTTCCCCTAGTAGAAGGGCACTGCCGTGCGAGAGGCCACGGGCCCCTGCCAAGGGCGCTCAGGAGAGCAGGCGGAACTGTGCCCCTCCCCCACTCCCCCTCTGAAGTGCAGGTTCTAGGGCTGGGGGAGGGTCAGTGGAGCCCTGGGGCTCACCCTGGCAGCTGCAGTGTCCCCACACGGGGCCCTTTCTCTCTCTCCCAGTCCCTCAGTTCCCCTGAGAAGCTTCCAGACACTTTCTGACATCCCATACAAGGGCTGGCAGGTTTCAGGGAGTCGCCCCCACAGCAGGGATGGGGCTCATCCCCCCCCCCGGACACGCACAGGGGGCAAGAGGACACAGGGCATAGGTGCCTCTTCTCTTCAACATTCCTTATTCACCGGGGCTGGTGGTTGGGCACAGAGCTGAAGGCAGTCAGGGCAGCAGCCTTCTGGGCTTGTGGCCACCCTGCCTTGGGGTTCAGTGGCCAGCATACCGGTACCCCCCAAGCCTAGACTCAACCTCCTGGACCCTCCGCCCACTTCCACATGCTGCCCTGAACTTAGGGACAGCGGACAGGGTTGGGGTCAAGGAAGCAGAGCCGGGTCTGACTCCTCATTTCCAGGGGGCCTGGGCCCCTTGTTCCTGCCATGCCAGAGGCAGGATGCCAGGAAGCCCATTTCACAGAGGGGAAACTGAGGCCCAGGGAGGGTCTGAGAACGAAAGGCAGATGAGAAAAACTAGAGCAGGGGCCCCGCTGCCCACTGGGGCACTTCCTCAGGGTGCCTGATGCAGGCCCCTCTGCTCCGAGGTGCAGGCTGCAGGGGTCTCTCGCTGGCCTTGGCATGGTGGTTGGTTTGGGGACCTATACTGCAGTGCTCAGGAGACTCTAGGCACAGTGCTCAGGGGTGCTCCTGGGCTTGGTCGACAGTCATCAGTGTCTGCTCAGAATATCCACACCCCAGGGCCAGAGCGACAGCACAGCGGGTAGGGTGTTTGCCTTGCAGGCACCTGACCCAGGTTCATCCCCAGCATCCCATATGGTCTCCCTGAGCACTGCCAGGAGCAATTCCTGAGTGCAGAGCCAGGAATAACCCCGAATGTGACCCAAAAAGGAAAAAAAAAAAAGAATATCCACACCCGTCCCTGCTGACCCACAGAACCACCTGGCCCCACCTAATCTCCCGTTCCCTGTCCCATGCCTAGTAAACCAGGGGGCCCCGTGGGCACTTTCCTTTAGCTCATGTCAGAAACACCCGCACTAGGGCAGACCTCTCAGGCCCCGCCCCCAGTCCCTGCATGCATCTGCCCAGCTAACCCTCACCCAGAACTTCCGGGGGCCTCTACAGGCACACAGCCTCAGGCTGCCCGGGCCCTGCTCCTTGCTGGCTGGCTGGGCACTGCTAGGGGACCAGCTGCAGGACAGCGTTCGGGGATCAGCCAGGCAGTACTTGGGGTCAGCTGCTCAGGGACAGTCAGGCGGTACTAAGAGGAACAGCCAGACAGTACTTGGGGATCCTCCAGGCGATACTCAGGGGACCAGCCAGGTGGTACTCAGGGACCACACCCCCCAGCCAGACAACCTCCTCTGGGCCTCTCACAACATCCTGGGTCCTGCCCACGACCCAAGCCAGCCATGCTGTGCTGGCAGACAGAAAGCCTCCAATTAGTCTTTCTCTGCTGGGGGCCATGCACTGCCCAGGGGCATGGGGCCTTCCCAGGGTGTCCTGGGCAGGCAGAGGTTCAATGCTACGAGCCCTGGCGATACCTGTAGGGGCAGGAGGTAGTGGGCTAGAGCTGGGCTCCCACTCTCTCCCCCCCAGCCCTGGTCACCCTCACTGCACGCGTCAACACTGCTTGTCATCCATCGAGAATCACAAACTGCTGGCACCCTGCCAGGTCACCCAGCTCTGACCATTTAAAACTCCTTTCTGAGGGGTGGAGCGATAGCACAGCGGGTAGGGTGTTTGCCTTGCGTGCAGCCAACATGGCCGACACAGGTTCGATTCCCAGCATCCCATATGGTCCCCTGAGCACCACCAGGAGTGATTCCTGAGTGCATGAGCCAGGAGTAACCCCTGAGCATCGCTGGCTGTGACCCAAACAGCAAAAAAAAAAAAAAAAAAAAAAAAAAAAAAATCATAAAACCTCCTTTCTGAGGCAAGGAGGAGACTTCTGCCACACAGGAGCACCAGATGGCAGCCACGGGATGGGGAAGAGGACAAAGACTCTCTGCCTGTCTGGGCCCCAGCCCCTGTGTACCACCCCCCTGCCCTGCAGAGCTCCACAGACCTGGACGAGGAAGCCAGGGCCGGCCCAGAGAGGCAGAGAGGCTGCAGGGCAGCCCAGGCTGCTGCAAACAGGGCCAGGAGGTGAATGTGCATTCATCGGTCCCAGCTCAGCCCGTTTGAAAACCCATCACCAAAACAGGGGCCACCAAAGGAATCATGCAATGGGAAAGAACAGAAATGGGGGCAGGGACGCGCCCCGGCCAAACAACTACCTCGTGGGACTCTCGCCAGCATCCAGCATGTCTCACCCACAAAGCACATGGCCGGAAGACAGAGGAGTCAAGGGGACAGGCCTTGGGGCCCCAGAAGGGATAGCTGCAGGTGAGAAGCAATAGCGGACCAAGAAGGACCAAGAAATGAAAGAGAGGCTGGGGCCCTGTGAAGGGCCAAGAACCTCCGACTCAAACCCTGCAGGAAACGCTGACTTCAGGAACATGGCAGTTCCACACGCAGATGTCACACACTGATCAAAGTCCCGTATGCTCAGGGATGAAGCCATTAACTGGGTGACAAAATAATAGACCATACCCCCCAACACACACACACACGCATCCCAAAGCTATTCCAGGAAAAAGCTGGAGTTTGCATGTCCCTGAGTCTGAATCAAATGACATAGTGACATCCACGGAAGCAAGTGGCTAACAGCAGAAGGAAACTCTTGGGGCAAAGGGACACAACGATGGCCCAGAGCCAAACCCTGGGCTCCGAGAGATTATTGGCGACAAAGAAGCTGGAGCATGGGCTGAAGCCATAGCACAGCGGGGAGGGCATTTGCCTTGCATGCGGGCGACCTGGGTTCGATTCCCAGCATCTCATAGGGTCCCCTGAGCACCGCCAGGAGTGATTCCTGAGTGCAAATCCAGGAGTAACCCGCGCGCATCGCGGGGTGGTGATCCAAAAAGCAAAAAGAAAAAAAAAAAAGAAGCTGAAGCATGATGTGGGTTTTCAGATGGGTTTGGGACAAGCGGGAAGCCACCTGCACCAACGAGGAGGCCACAGATGTGTATGTCACACACCCACAGGAGTTTCTGATGGGCGGCAGGGAGCAGCGCCCCGGACAGAGCGTGGGGTGCTGGCAGAGCCTCCAGAGTGAAGGGGCGCAGGCGCAGTCCCCGACGCTGACCTAGGGCGCAGGCGCAGGCCACTACAGCCAGGAGGCGGCAGGGATCCCCTGCAGCCTAGCCGCCAGCACCCCCACCCGAAGGAGCCTGGCTGGCCCGCACCCCTTCTCCAAGCCCTCTGTGGCCGCGGCGCTGTGGGGGAGCGCCTGCACCTGGGTGCACTCACTACAGATGGGGGAGCCGAGTCAGCGCCAGACCATCCACACTGCGTCTGGGGAAATCGAGTCAGCGCCTCATCCTGTCTACACCCACATCTGAGGAAACCGCGTCAGCGTCCCATCCCATGCACACCACATCTGGGGAAACCGAGTCAGCACCCCGTTCCCATCCACACCGCATCTGGGGAAACCGAGTCAGCGCCTTGTCCTGTCTACACCCACATCTGGGGAAACCGAGTCAGCGTCCCATCCCATCCCATCCACACCACATCTGGGGAAACGAGTCAGCACCTCGTCCTGTCTACACCCACATCTGAGGAAACCGAGTCAGCATCCCGTCCCATCCACACCGCGTCTGGGGAAACGGAGTCAGCGCCCCGACCCACCCACACCACACTTGGGGAAACTGAGTCAGCGCCCATCCCACCTACACCCGCTTCCAGGGAAGCCACTCCGGGCTGCCAGGCCAGACTCAGGGAGACTCCGGACTTGGGGGGTCCGGCTGGTCAGGTTCCCCCACACTTACCGGGGGGGCAGACACACTCGGTCGGAGCTTCTCGAATCTTCCGGAGCTTGACCAATCCGTCCAGCTTCTGCACGGGGAAGAAAAGGGAGAGTGCGGCTGAGCTGGGGGGCCTGGGGTCGGCGACCCGGGCGCCTGGGACCCGTGCCGGGCCGTCGGGGCGTCCTGGGGGGCTCTGAGGGCCCCCGACGCTGAGGGGCGAGAGCAACGCAGGCTGCGCTCGGCGGTGAGGGGCCTCCCGGGGGCGGGCGGCCTCGAAGGCGCATCCCGCAGTCTCGCGAGACTGTCTGTCCCCCAGCGAGGCCGCTTCTGCGATCACCCCACTGCGTCCAGGGCTTGCCACGAGGCGCAGGGGAACGACGACCAAGCGTGGCTCTGATGCCCCACCACACCTGCCCGGGATCCGGGCTTGTGAGTTTACCTCGTTGGTGCCCAGGAGGCGTGAGGTGGCTCAGGCCACGTGGACAAGGGACCTGCTGATCCAAGCCACCCTGCAGGGACCAGTGCAGTCCTACAGAAGGAAAGGCACCTGCCTGCATGTAACCCGCCAAGGATCGGTCCGACACCCCAGAGTGTGCCCCAAGGCCCTCCAGGAGTGATCCCCGGGCACAGAACCAGGGGTGAGCCCTGAGCACCACCAGGCGTGGCTCAGTAACCAAAGAACATTGCCCAAGGGCCCTCCCCACAAGATGACTTGCAAATTTCCCCATGGAGTCTAGGAGGCCTGGAAGCCACCGGGCTGTAGCTCCTTGCAGCCTTCCAGCCTCCGACGTTCGTCCCTGCTGGGGACTCCCCTTCCCTTACTCTTCCCAATTTCTCTTACCACTGGGTATCTGTGGCCCAAAAATTGTGGTTCATTACAGCCTAACTGGGGTTTCCACGCCCACGCCCAGCTCTGTGATGGTCTGGGTCAATGAGGTAAGAGTAAACGCACCAACCCGAGAGGACAGTACGGTGTTAGAGCATTGCTGGCTGCCACCCTGCTGGCCCTCAAATCACCAGGGGGACCCAGGCATTTACAAACACAGGGCTCATGGTGGTCACAGCCTTCCTCCCACCCTCTGCACTGACCCAAACACCTGTCACTGGTGGTCACCCCCCAGCCCCGCTTCAGACCCTCCCTCCCCAAAGAAAAGTCACAGCCCCGTGTTCTGTCATAATCGCTGCCAGACTTGAGCTTGGGGTCACCTTGGAAGGGTCAATGATTGTCCCTGTTAAGCAGGTAAACCCCAAGCAGGAGAGAAGTTCTGCTGAATTCTAAGTCCTAAGTCTGAGGCATTTTTTTATTTTTTTAGTTTGGATCACACCCAGCAATGATCAGGGGTTACTCCTGGCTCTGCACTCAGGAATGACCTGATGGTATTGGAGGACCATATGGGATGCTGGGGATCAAACCCGGGTCAGCTGCATGCAAGGCAAATGCCCTACCTGTTGTACTATCACTCCGGCCCCCAAATCTGAGTTCTTAAGCTTCCAACTAGCCACATTATCTTATATTAAAATTCAGAGGCAAGAACCAAGGATGATGGCTGAGTTGGGTTTTTTTTGGGGGGGGGTGGAGGAGGGTGGTGGTTGGCAGCTAGGTCCCAATTCCCTTTGATGCATTTGCTTTTCCCTGATTCTATGTGCAATCTGCAAAATTTTATAGTCCTCTAGCTGCCGTCCCCTCCTGCTGAGAAGAGACCGGGGCGGGGGGCTGGAGCGATAGCACAGCGGGTAGGGAGTTTGCCTTGCACGAGGCCGACCCGGGTTCGAGTCCCAGCATCCCATAGAGTCCCCTGAGCACCGCCAGGAGTGATTCCTGAGTGCGGAGCCAGGAGTAACTCCTGTGCATTGCCGGTGTGACCCTAAAAGCAAAAAAAAAAAAAAAGAAAGAAAAAAGAGAAGAGGGGGCTGGAGCACTAGTACAGCGGGTAGGGTGTTGCCTTGCACTAAGAGCACTATCTTGGGGAGCTGAGGGATATTTGAGGGTCTATGCTCAGGAACGCCCCCTGGTGGTATATGGGAGCTATTCCTGGCCCCATGCTCAGGAGCGCCCCCTGGTGGTATCCGGAGGCTAGTCCTGGCTCTGTGCTAAGGATCGCCCCCTGGCCTAGTTTAGGGGAACCATGTGGTGCCAGGGAGGAAAATGGGGTCAGCACATGTAAGGTTAAGATAGTACCTTAACCTTACTTTATCTTTCCAGCCCAGAACCTCTTATATTAAAATTCAGAGAGAGGAACCAAGGATGATGGCTGAGTTCTTTTTCTGGGGCATGGGGGATAGTGGTGGTTGGCAGATAAGTCCCAATTCCCTTTGATGCATTTGGTTTTCTCTGATTCTATGGGCAATCTGCAAAGTTTGATGGTCTTCTCGTTTCCATCCCCTCTTCACTCTCAGCGGGTTTAAAACATCACTAGTAGGAACAAAATTGAGTGTTTTAACTAGAAACCTAATCCCCCCATCTTTATTTCCAGACCTTAGTTCTTAGACCAAAAAGAAAAAAAAGTTTTCCTTAAATATTCTTTTGTGTCCAGGTTTGTCAAAACGATTTAAAAGTCTCAACTTTTCTACATTCAGTTATCTGGCAGCACCCCCTGGCATCTGCAAACAATACGGGTCTGGGTTTTTACATATGCAAATAAGTCAGGAGTCCAAAAATAAAAAACCTGAAAGCAAGGAGCATATTTCTGAGAAGAGAGAGGTTTGGGGGATTGGAGGTGGGGGTGTTGTGGGAGTAGCCAAAGCCCAGGGAATTAATCAGAAAATGAAAGTTTTCAAGGGAAAAATAAAGCATTCCCTTGTCAGATGAAAAATTGATTCATGATCTGTGGTGGTTGAGTCTCTTTCCCACAAGCTACAAAGTTTACATTTTGAAGCAATATTTACATGCAAAGAAGAATGTAATGCTTTCTTTCTGTAACAGGCTACAGATAAGGCCACAGATAAAGCCACAATGTTCCTAGCCTTTGATCAGATCCACCTAGTGGGATAAACCAGTAAGCTAGCAGGAGCAGAGAAAACCATCTTGGCCCAAAGAGGTTCTGCAAAACAAACAAACCCACAAGGGCAGGGTTTTATCCAAGGTGGTGGTTTTCTGCAAGGTGCTGAGTCCTTTGATAAAAATGTCACATCCAGACATGTTATTCATTGTGCACAATGCAGAAAAAAAAACCCATCTGCATTCCTATGTTCATTGCAGCGCTATTTACAATAGCCCAAATCTGGAAAGATACCAAATGCCCAAGAGCAGACGACTGGATAAAGAAACTGTGGTGTATTGGGTAACTTTGGTTTATCCTTGCTCTTCCCGCAGGAGCTTAGGTTTATTGAGTTACTCCCACCAGAGTGCTCCCAATTCCATCAGGCAATAATAATCCTATATTGCTTTTCTCTTTCCTTTTTGTCCTTTGCATAGCTTAGAATGTCCTTTCTGTATAGACACAGGAAGACAGTTGATGCTATGTTTTTGTAACGTGAGAGTCAACTGACTCCGAATAATATTTATTCCTTGGCATCCATCTTATTTACTTGACTTAAGCCTCAGTTATCATTACTTCCTAACACCCCCAAAAGGGGGGTCCAGGCAAAGGATTTGGATGGACCCAGGGCAAGCAGTAAGCTACTCTAGCATTGAAAAGGCACAGGGTAAGCATCATAAGAAGTACAATAAGTTAAGAGCATGATCATGGAACAAAGTCTGCCATGACCCAAAAAGAAGTAACTGAATAAGGACCCTGATGGGTTTACTAAAGACTAGCCTGGCCTGAGGACTCTACATAGTCTGGGGTATAGAGTGAGATGTCCCCCAGAAAGAGCCACCATTTAAACTTAATAGATCTCTGTGTTCATACAAAGGCCCTCCCGTTGATCGTCTATTTGCTCGAGCGGGCCCAGTAACGTCTCCATTGGAGACTTTGTTGTTACTGTGTCTGGCATATCGAATACTCTCGGTAGCTTGCCGGGCTCTCCGAGAGGGGCGGAGGAATCGAACTTGGGTCGGCCATGTTGGCCGCTTGTAAGGCGAACGCCCTACCGCTGTGCTATCGCTCCAGCCCAAATGACTAGAAATATTAGTAGCACTGTCCACTGTCCTCCTGCTGTTCATCGATTTGCTTGAGTGGGTACCAGTAACGTCTCCATTGTGAGACTTGTTGTTACTGTTTTTGACATATTGAATACGCCACGGGGAGCGTGCCAGGCTCTGCCGTGCGGGTGAGGTACTCTCGGTAGCTTGCCAGGCTCTCCGAGAATGACAGGACAGAGGAGTCGAACCGGAGTTGCCCGCATGCAAGTCAAACACCCTACCCGCTGTGCTATCGCGGGTTAGAAATATTAGTAAGAAGTAAATTTAACATGATTGGTTAAATGGATACTAGCTAAGGAAAGGAGAAAGCAGTAACGGCCTCAGATGGAACCCCACCCTTAAGCGGACCTCCTAGTAATTTTTTTTTCTTTTTGGGTCACACCCGGCGATGCACAGGGGTTACTCGGGAGTTACTCCTGACGGTGCTCAGGAGACCATATGGGATGCTGGGAATCAAACCCGGGTCGGCCGATTGCAAGGCAGATGCCTTACCCGCTGTGCTATCTCTCCAGCCCCTCTCCTAGTAATTCAGAGTGCTGAATCCCCAGATGAGATTTTGTCCCAGAGTTAATCTCCTAGAAGAACTTCCCCTGAAGGAGGGGCTTTACATTTGTTTATTGTTATGATAATGTTCGGCCTCACCTATGTGTACCCCCACCCTTCATGATTTCTGTATAACTACAGAGAGAGGAAATAAATGGTCACTGATTACCAACCAGCCAGTGGCCCCATTCCTTTGTTCCCTGGTTCCTCAGTTTGCCCATTGCTATCTGCTGGTCTGGGGAGGCGGTTCCCACCACCCAACACACCCATGCTTGGAACTCACAATGGCATGTCTTGGCAATAAGTGAAGATGAAATCAAGCAAATTGCTGCTTACATATATGGAATTGGGTAGTATCATGCTGAGTGGAGTTAGTCAGAGGAAGACGACAGACACAGAATGCTCTCCCTCCTATGTGGGATGTAGAGAAACTTCGTAAAAACTTTCACAAAACTTTTTCT